CTGAAGCTTCATGTCCCCTGTTCCCTTGTCACTTTTGAGCCCTTACAAAGTAGCTTTTCTAAACAAAGCAAATGGCATTGAGGCTCCAATACATGCACTAGTTACCCCCAATGCTCCCTCTGAGCTGCAGAGTCCTGTGAGCAAAATTCTCCTTTGTGAGCTACTGACATTAAAGTTGTGAGCGAGCGATTTGGCTACTGCATGAATTAGTTTGCTCCGGAGCCATCCCTTCCTGAGCTAAGACAAAAACATGTGAGCCGGAGGATCTGTGAGCTAGCTCACACTAACTCAACTTAGTGGGGACACTGGTTTCCCCCCTTACATTTTCAGGTGTTCACCTAAGATGTTTACAGACATGCATCGTGCAGATGCACTTGTATGTGACTGCAGTTCCATGTGGAATATACTGTCCATGGGGGGCTCAGACGTGTCGCCGTGTAATGTTTGAAATGACCCTAAGAACCAAACTCTGTAAGTTCTTTAGTGACAAAGAGCTCCATCTCTTTGAAATCTTCAAGACATTGGTAAGCAGATGGTGAGGATGCTACCTACTAAGACACAGTCACACCTGAAAATATCAAGTCTTGACTCAGGAGCTCCTGTATATTCCATCACTGTTGGGAGAATGGAGGACAGCTTGAGCTCAGCCTCTCATTCTCATGGGTTGCTGTGCTGTTTCTAAAAGCAGAACGAGATATGAAGACAGCACACAGAACTGGAAGACAACTAGATGTGACAGCAGTTGTAAAGCAGAGAGATAATTTGAAGTGGAGATGTGAGGACTCAGAGTGATTGGGGATTTTTTCCTCTGCCTGCCATTTCACACACACATTTTAATGCTCACAGATAACACTTTCCCTTCCCTCCAGTTCCTAGGCTGCATCAACACATCTTTGGATATTGCACTCTCCTTGCACTATAGCAATTATTTGCATCTGGATTGGATTGTCCACACAAGAAAATCAATATGCAAATGACTGCTATAGTGAATCATGAGCACAAAATCCAGTGACGTGTGGATGCAGCCCCTGGTTGTGATCCGAGACTGGAATTAAGCCCAGGTAGGAGAAAAATGGCCTGGGGAGATGTGTTGCAAGAGGAAAAGCATTGAGTGGAGGAAAGGGTCAGCACCCACTCACTCTGTCCACTTTTCTTCGTGAGAAATTAGCCTTGTGTTGCAGATTTTTGGTTGTGAACTTTATTTGGATGCATAAATTTTCCATCTTCAGACCTTATTTTTAATTCAAGCAGATTACTGAACCTTCACTGAAGATTTCCTTGTGTGGACAGCGGTCAGGGTAGCTTCTAGGAACTTAACTGAGAAATCATCTCCTTTTGGCCTAGCGGTCTGCAGACCTGAAACTGATGTCATAATCTACTCAATGGCCTCAGGAGCAAGAGTGCCACCTCTTATGGGCAGGCTCTTCTGCCTTTAACCGCTACGGAAAGGGTAGAGATGCAACAGCATGCAGCAGCATTTCTGTTGTGGCTCTGGCTATTCAAGGGACAGAAGAGATGAGGAAAAAATATTTGGAATAATTGTGTGCCCCTGAAGGACAATGCTACCTGAATTCCCAAAGAAAGCAGGGAAGTACTGAAAAAATAATTGAGCCCCGGAGCATACCAGCAGTTTAGCCATCAGTGTCTGTGAAATAATTTCCAGGACACATGACAGAACCTAATCCCACAACCTCTTCTGGGAGGTGTGTTGAAGCAGCCAATGGGGAAAGTGGTTGATGCTGCTTGTCACTGGCAGCAGCACAGCCACCAGGGGATTTCCCTGTGCAAAGCAGCCTAATTAGTTCTGAAATTAGGGCTATTGTGCTGAGCATCCTTCCAAGTTAAGGCGAAGGAAGAGGAGAAGTCATTTCATAGGCAATCTCCAACTGAGCCCCAAGATTTGGAGATCATCTATGAGACAAGAAAGACAGAAAGATGGCCACAAAGCAAGGGCCCTATCCTGCTAGAGGGGTAGGTGAGGGGCCACAACCTCAAAGGACAATGTGCTGCTTCCAAAGATGTCTGGGAGAGAGAGTGCTGTGCTGGGGCATTGTCTCTCTAACTCTCTGCTTTTCATTCCTCCAATTTTGCCCCTTCACCTTCTTCTCCTTTTTCTCCTTTCCCTCATCCAACACCTCCATAAGTTTTGAGGATTCCACCATGTCCACAGCCACTACCCTTGAGTATATCCCCACCTCAGCAGGAGACCCGAAATGCCAGCGCCCGCGCACCCTGATGCGCCAGCAGAGTCTCCAGCAGCCGCTCAGCCAGCACCAGAAACCTAACCACAGCCAGCCCACCACCAGCCAGAGCCTGGGTCAGCTGCAAACCCACTCCAGCTCCGCCAGTGGCAACCCTCGGGGCTGTCGGAGTGGGCAGTCACGGCAAGGGAACTCTGCTGGTGCCAAGCACAGGACAGCTGGCGGACGCAGCCGCTCCAACCCTGGGAGCTGGGACCACGTAGTGGGGCAGATCCGGAACCGAGGCTTGGACATGAAGTCTTTCCTGTAAGTTCTTGTGCTCTTTTCTCTTTTTCTCTATGTATGTCTCAGACTTGCTTATGATTCTGCTCATTCCCTATTTGCTTGGTTCCAGTGAGTAGCAATGTTGTAAGCTCCTGTTGCAAAACAGCTAACTCTTAGCAAACCAAAAAAAAATCACTGCTTTGCCTACCTGTTCTGTGTTCCTTGGCTCAGAAGAGATCTTTTTCACCTTAGATGCCACATACTGGCTAGTTTCAGACCCAGACTCTCTAACCTTCTAACATGCAGTGCCAAGGAGGCGAGGGAAGTCTCTTAGTCACTATCTCCATTTGGACCTGAGAACCTTTTGTTCTCACTCCTTCCTTGTTTGGAACTATTCCTTTATTTTGTTCCTCAGCTTTGTAATAACATTTAGTAGAGTCTCCAAATGTAGCATTTGCTTTCTTGTATATTTAACATCCTATGAAAATAACATCCTATGAAAATAACATCCTATGAAAATAACATCCTATGAAAATAAACATTTATGAGATGTGTGTTCTTCTGTTACACCTTGGCACCCTGCCCTCTTAATTTTGGGCACACTGTTAACTAAGTAGTATCATTTGAAGCCTTAGGCTATGATAGATCCCATCTCTGTTTAAAGGCCAGACAACATGACCTTCCGATTTATTCTTGCTCACTGTGCTGTCGGTGGATTCTTGTAGCTAAGGAGCATAGGTTTCAGTGTTAGACAAGTAATAGTGGGTACGTGGTCGGGTGAGATCACATCAAAAACTCACCATATGTCTATGTGGAAATTGCACATAAGACATCCATGGCTATTCTGGAGGCTTGAGAGCTAAGCAGGGATTTGTACCAGATTCCAACACATGTTCAAACCTAGCAGTCTAGCCCTAATTTTGCCTATTTGGGAGAGAAAGAAGCCTAGCAAATTTAGGGATTTCCCTTCCCTTCTTTTTGGTTAACAGTGAGGTTTCTATACATCACTGCAAAGCTGACAAACCCTGCTAGATTGAGGTGATTCTTCTGTGCCCCTTTACAAACAGGCATTTGGTCTTCTTATCCATGAAACCTGTGCCTATCAGCCCTTCAGATCTGCCTTGCTGTGATCTAGAAAGGCAGCTTTGTCAGAGCACTTTGAAATGTGTGATTTTTAATCTGTCTTAAATACTTTCCCTGTTAGTGACAGCTTCTAAATTCCAAGTACCAAGGGCTAATCTGAAGCCTTTGCTGATTTCGCACTAGAGCTGCCTCAATGTTGCGCCGTTTGCCCCGCTGCGGGGCTGCATTTTGACTCGCAGCTTCGAAACTGCGGAGGAAATTGGGCAAAGCCGCGGGTCAAATGCAGCCCTGTGGCTTCGGGTATGAAATTGACCAGTAGTATCGGGGCAAATGGCAGCGCAACATCGAGGCAGCTCTAGTGCGAAATCAGCCCATATGTTGGAATGTTACTGTTACTTATTTTCTGCAGGGGGAGGGGGCACTGCAATGCCTTATTTTGCCTTAATTACTAACACACACACACACACACACAGCATACTGAGGCACATGATGTTCAGAGTTGGGAAGAATAGTTTTATTGGGCTAGACACCTGTCAGAGGACTCAGTATATGGTCAGAGAGGAAAATCCCTAGCTCAGTGATAAGAGAACAGTACTGGTGGTAAATGTTTTTTCATGTTTATCCATTTATTACATAAGAGACTTGGGAGCTACATTGGTCCATAGCCAAATTCAAAAACAAAAAACTATGTAATATATTTTATTAAAACAAACCAAAATACCACAATATAGTGTCCAAGTTTTGGCATTCCCAAGAACTCTTAATCAGGCTGGATGATTATAAAAGGAGGAAAATTGTAACTATTACACACTTTACCATCAGTGGTGTTCCACCAGGATTAATCTGAGATTTCTGTCATACTTCTGTCACAATTTATTTCATAGAGAAGTAGTCGCTCTCCTGCTGTAATAATTGTGATCCTGGGCACAGCTAAAATGGATAGCATAGCCAGATAATACATACCTAACAGGGACCTACTGTAACTCAAGAGTTATGCATATGCTTTGCATGTGGAAGGTCCCAGGTTCAGTTCCCATCGTCACCTCTGGTTAAGGAGATGTTGCAAAAGACTTTTTTCAACCTGAGACCCTGAAGAGTTGCTGCTATTCTGAGTAAGGAGTATGAGGCTCAGGGGTTGACATACATTTTTTTTAACCAGTGTACAGTCTCTTTTAGGGTGCTGAGAGCACGAGGTGGGAAGTAACACTTTAGCTACTTTCTTACCAATACTCAATACCAGCTCATAGCAGCTGACTTTCACCCCTAACTGGGCTGAATGAACGAGTTATCTGACTCAGTATAAGGCAGCAGCATCAGTTCATATTCCTAAAGGTGATATACTAAGAAACAATGGTCAAAAGCTTAAATAGATGGGTACTTTCAAGAGTTCCTTATTATGGCTGAGTATACAGCCCAGCTCTAACCATACAAAAAAGCAGCCGAGGACAAAGAAAAAATAGGACAAGACAGAAGAATTCTGCCTTCCTGGGACCTTGCTAGCCCTCATTTGGATGGCTGAAGGAATCAAATCTCCAAAAAGAAATGAGGATTTGCTCCTTTTATAGACCCTTTTAATGTTTTCTAATGACCTACCAAGGGAAGACTTTGGGAAGCCAATCCCAGATTATCATTTGAAGCAAAACTTCTGAGTGTCTTTGCAACTGTGAGCTCACTGGGGCAAAGAAAGCAGAATGTGCCCAGAAATAGCAGAGAAAGAGGTTTTTGCGATGGGAAATCAAATGAATAGGTTATCATTTAAGAGTCAGTAGATGATTGCCTAGCTCAGGAAAAAGAGTATTGCAGGCTTTATAAGATTTATTGTAATGAATGGCTGGAATCAGAGAACTCCATGTATCAGGGCTGATTGATGTAACCAGGGGTCTTGTTGTAGAAAAAGAGCTGCCGGAGCTCATTAGCATAACTCATTAGCATAACTTATTTGCATATGCCACGCCCCCTGACATCACCGGAAGTGACAGAAGGCCACACCCCCTGACATCACCGGAAGTGTGTCAGAAGGCCCGGCTACTTACCCTCCTGCTTCATCCTCATTCCCAAACGGAATGAGGATCGAAGCAGAGGGCGGGGTAAAGAAGGGGGCGGGGCTTCACCACGTGACCGCCCCGCCCCCTAGAGGTTCTCTTCCAGAGCTCCGTACCTGAGAGCTCCCCCCCGACTAGAGCCCTGGATGTAACTAAAACAGCACTCTCTGATACAATAAGCAAAGATATGTTTGAGTTACGTGGAAAATCAGGATATTAATTTAAAAACTGCATTTGTTCTTCCTTCCTCTTTCTGGGTAGTGTCCCATACTCTAGGTGTTCTCTGTCTCTGGTCTCTAGAAGACAGCTTTTTGAGAAAAGGTTGGTCCTAGAGGCTCTCTCTCTCCCTCACTTTCCTCCCCAGGCCATATTTTTCTCTGTGTCAGAAAAAAGGAGGGAGAATATTGAGAGGCTGGTCTGCTCCCAAGCTTGAACTGGAAATAGAAAGCCTGTTTTTGATTGCAGCTTGGTCAATGATCTCCAAAAGTGGGTTGTGACATTAATTTGTGGTTTTGTAACATGTTTTGAGATCATCAACTAAAAGATGCAAATGGAAGTTATTTATCAATGCCATGGTGATCATGTAATTGTTCTGCAGGCTTGGCAATAAAATTTCCCTCTGGGTGGCTTTTGCTAATGTTCAGATTCGAACTGATCACTATGGCTGCGGTCACACAGCCAGGAAAATGCGGGGGGAAAGCGTAGCTGTTTGCCCCGGGGAAAACTAAAGCGTGGTTGGGCGATCAGACCTCCCGTGGAGGTCCCGTGGAGATTCCATGGAGGTCCCGTGGTTAGGGAGAGGTGCGGATCACACAGAAGTGGGGCCTCGGGGCAAAGAAGCGGGGGCCACGCATGAGGGAAGGCAAGGAGGGGGCTGCCAGAGACAGCTGGCCAAGCGGCGCTGGGGAGAGGAGGGGCCAGCTGGCGACTGGGTGGTGTGGCATCGTGTCGGGCTCGGCGTTTTCCCCACCAGTGAGGCAGGCAGGGGGTGGGCAGTAGTTCTGGAAGGGCAACAGTCCGGGGAGCCGGCCGGTGGGGCGCGCGAAGAGGGCAAAGCAGCATGGCTCAGCCCCCTCCGCCCTGACCGCCCCTTCCCCAAGGAGACTTCCTAATCTGCCACCGCGCCCCCCTCTTCTGGGCTTCATCTCAGCCGCTGTATCGGCTGCCTTGTCCCCTTTCCCCCTATTTGTCGCTCGCCTCAAGCCTGTGCTCTTTGTGGCTTTCTTCAGGCTGCTCTCCTCTTCTCTGCACGACTTAAGTTGTGTGGGTTGTTTTTTTTATTAAACTAACGTTTGCGCATGCTCCGTTGGGTGCTTTTGCGCATCCGTGGAGACTTGGGAAAAAAAACCACCTTTTAGCTAGGGGACATGGGCGGGCGCCGGAACTACCTCCAGAAACGCGATCAGACGCCCGCCCTTTGTCCCGCGGTTTCCGGAAACTAGTACCTCCGAGGTACTAGTTTTTTACTCCGCTGTGTTGGCGTTTAGCCACGGGTTAGCCACGGGAGCTCTACACTTGCCAGATGTTGCCATGTGATCGCGCCAGGAAACTCCGCCTCTCTTCCGTCTCTGTAGCGTGGCTTATGCTCCGTGTGACCGCAGCCTATGTTTGGAGACAGGAAAGAAATGTTCCACCAGGTCAAATTGGCTAGTTAATGAAGGTGCTTTTTCTTCTCTCCTGTCTTGGAAACATATGCTCTCTGGCAAAATCACTTGCTTAAGGTCATCCAGACTTCTTTTCCTTTGCTTGCACCATTATGGAGCGTACCCTTTTGTGGCCTGGATTATGTGAGTTGATCTGAGAGGAGCCTAGTGTGTTGATAGTCCTGCCTGTTGGGTAGGACATTAGACTAGATGACTTCATAGTTTCTCCCAGTCTGATCCAGAATTTAAGAAATTCTAATCCATTACTTTTCTA